AAACAAGTGGGTTATCTCCTGCGAAAGTGTTCTGGAGTTGTGTGATCCTTATGTTGTCTGTTAGAAGATCCCATTTACAAGCGAAATATATGTGTTAAAATTTAATTCGGGTCGCTTAAGAGAGTGGGTTTAATTGTTACGTGAGGAAATGCGAGAGTTGCAGAAGATATGGAGTACCAGATGGTCTGTGTTCCACGAGCTTATGAAGGGTTGAGGAAATTTCACTATGGTAGTATGGCAGCAATAAAGTATATGTGTTATGAATTATGGTGTGTGCCTTGATCTATGGCTTCGAGCCAAGTGGGGGAGTCTGCTATTGAATAGTTGATCGCACGGTTATGTGCTATAATGGTTCCAGTTCGAGGTGTATTTGTGAGTCAGTTATGACTCGAGTAAAGGAAATTTCAATAAAGGTTATGTTATGCTTTGCGGGTGTATGAGAATCGGGGAATTACTTGAGTTTTTGTTCGTAAGGAATGCTCGGTGCATGGGGCAGGAAGTTGCTTGGTTATATTGGAATGAGGTTACATTCTGCGGGTCGGAGTGCTAATGAGGCACAGGTTGTTCGGTTCTTTTGATCGGGCTAATTGCGGTTAGAGTAGAGTGGATGACTTGCGAGAATGATTCTAATGTGTTCAAGATTCTACATATAACAATTGGGTATTGTAAAGTTGCATATGTGGTTGGAAACTGAGTTTTCATTGGAAGATGTCAAGGCTTATGGTATTTTCTATAAATTGTGGGATTCTATGTATCAGTATCAGGAAGGTAAAGGTAACGGATTTAGATTCGTAGGAAGTCTCTTCAGAGTAAAGTATTTTGAAGGTGATGCTTTTAGGGATATTTAAGAGAGTATTCAGTGGGTTATGAGCCTTAGGCTGTGTGGTATTATGCTTGGGTCTCGTATGGTGAGTTGGGTTGAGGAAATGTGATGTTATGGCAAGACGGAGTATCAATTGAAGGTAAATCAGAAGGGAGCTCGGATAGATGGGATAGCTTGGTAGTAGGCCAGATCGGTATGGTAAGAATATGATTAGTTCTTTGGGTGTTTACGAGGTAATGAGTTTCTTCAGGTATTTCGCGGTAATGCTCTTGGGTTTTAGTAGCCTGCGTAGGTTGATTGAGTTAGGAGGATTCAGTCCTGACAGACTTGGTTTTTGTGCAAGGGAGTCGGAGAGTTCTTGTTGATTTCTACCGCGGTTAGAGATGTATATTTTCTGCTGGCGTGAGGAGCTTGAGATGTATAGTGATTTTCTTCTAGAATGGGATCAATGGAAAAGTTCTTAGTTGGTTGAGTACATAGTTGCTTGTGGCTTGGAAGGGATATGAAATTCTCATGTTATTTTAGGATGGATTGGTATATGCGGTATGTGTAGAGGTTGAGATTTGCGTGTGTAAGGTTGCGGTTCAGTTCTGAACGGAAGGCCATAAATTCTCAGGCAGCACGGGCGGTCTCAGATGATTAAGGAGATGGTATTGCTAGTTGGAGGTAATTTGACGAGGGTATATATTTCAGAAAAAGGCAATGTGATTAAGTTGATGGTACTTCGGTAGTATTGCGGCACTTTCTTGTTAGATCGACTGCTGTATTCGAGTTCGCTTGGAGGCACAGAAGAAGGTTACAGTATCTCCCGTGGAGTGACTGGATATTAGAGATGTGGTATGTGCTCGGACGGTGGAATTGGAATCGGATATGTGATTCGTGTGCTATATGGAGTTGGAGACTGGGAGTTCTCATATTCAGGCTATGTTGTGGTTGTGGGCCGTGTGTATCGGCACTGTTCAGTGACTATCGGGGTCTGGAGACCCGAGGGGATCTTTTGCTGCTTGGTACGTTAGATTTCGGAGGTGATATTGGGTATGGACTGGTTGTCTCAGTGTTGTATCATTCGTAGCTATTGCGCTAAGGCGGCGATGTTGGTTATGCCGGGTATGCCACGGACCAAGTGGCGAGGTTCGACGGATTATGTCCTTAGTAGGGTGGTTTTATATTCCGAAGCCCAGCAGACGACTGGGAAGGATTGTCTTTCTTATTTGGGCTCTCGTGATGGATGTCAGTGCAGAGGCTCCTCATATTGATTCAGTTCCGGTGGTGAGGGACTTTTCGGATGTGTTTCTTGTGGCCGGGCATGTCGCCGGGCAAGTTTGTTGATTTCGGTATTGATTTGATGCCGGGAACCGTATCGTATGGCACCGGTAAAGTTAAAGGAGTTGAAGGAGCAGCTTCAGGATTTCCTTGATAAGGAGTTCGTTGGCAGGCCAATGTGGATGCGTGTTCTAACTTGAGTCAGCTTGGTTGGCTCCGGATTGTATTGTTGAGGGATGTGTTGATTCGATTGTTGTTGAGCTTATTAGTAATCTGGGGAGATCAATGAGTTACCTTTTCTGTGTTGCGAGGCGTTATGATTTGTTGGGTATAGGCACAGATGGTGCGGTTCCATTGGGTGTTTCTTAGTGGAAGTCGAGCGAGAAAGAGTATTGGATATTGCTCGGCGGATGGCGTATTGGTTATATCCTTTTGGGTTGAGTAGTGTTATGTAATTGCTTCACTGTGGTCATGATGATTTGCTTTGGTTCTAGACATCATTTGCGTGTGGTGGTCAATTTCGAGCAGAGTGACTTGAGGTGTTTCATGTGGAGCAGTATTTGGATAGGATCGCGCATTGCAGCGAAGTTATGTGGAGATATGACCTTGCGGGTTAGATTTGTGTGTTCTATTTCTACGATGTGAGACGGGTTCTCAGCTTTGTGTTGTGGTGGTACCGGTGAGCTTGAGGTACAACTCTTTCATTTGGGTCATTATCATGAGTTGAGTATGTTCGGATTATCTCTTATTGGTGCGCGGATTGCGCAAGTTACGGCTTTAGTCTACATTGAGGTGTCATGTCACCAGAGTGGTTGTGTGTGATTAGATGAGATCGTTGGGATCATTAATGAATATGAACGGATTCAATTTTAGCACGTTGGAACTTCATTGCTTCCTCACTGGTTTTGTACCACTTCTATACAGCATGTTGATGCATTTTTCGTGATTTCTTATCACTCAATCTTTATTTATGATTATTACTCACTGAGTTGGAGTACTCACTTTACTCCCTGCACCATGTGTGCAGATTCAGGTATTCTACACCCGGTAGCGGGCTGATTGAAGGCAGAGTTATCTGAGTTTAGCAAGGTAGCTGCCGGCGTTCACAGCACTGCTTTTCTCCCTCCTTATTTTATTAGTTTGTACTTAGTACATTCCAGACTTTGTCAGTTGTATTTAGATTTAGTAGATGCTCATGACTAGTGACACCCCGATTTGGGCTGTGTTGGGTTGTATTCCGCGAATTATTTTGTATTATCATCGTCACTTCTGAGATTATATCATGCTTTAGACGTAATGCTTATTGTTTAATTGCTTAAAAACTGGATTGGAAATGTGTCGGCTGGCCTTGTCTTCACGAGAGGCGCCATCACGACCGGGTCTGGGTTTAGGGTCGTGACAACAAAATAATTAGATTCAATTTCCCAGGAAGTTCATTCATCTAGAAAATCTCCCTACAACGAAAACATTTGAATTTCTAAGTACGCAAATATTTTCAATAACTGAAAACTCAAAAAGTCAAGATTCAAATGTTTATAAGATACAGAAACAGATGTGCACTGAGATAGAGAAGCAAAAACTGAAAGTTCCATAATCAGTCGAGATTCAAATTAGTAGTATGAAACTCTTAGATATACAACTCAAAACAAATAGAGAAATACTCCGTTGTATTTCATTTATAATCCAAAATTCGCTACATCTAGTAATTTAAAACCAAGAAATTAAAAAGATACCCATTTCCCATCAAGAATTTCAATATATTTTACCACCTTTCATAGATCACAAAACAGACACCCACAAGCATCTCTCAACTTTCTTGGCTTTTTCATATAACAGAACATCATACAAAATCTATAATAAAAAAAAAAGAGAGAGAGAGAAAACTGTTTTGCAACAGAGAGCAGAGCTTGGTTTACTTGAAAGTGAAAGGAGATTGAATGTGCGGAGATGACAGCCGTCGGTTTTCCTCTCTACCTTCCTACAGAGACGAAGCGATATTTAATAGATTAACGCCTATATTCCTATGAAATCAATCTATTAAGAACGCATTAAGATCACAATATTTAATTAAGCACGGTGACTAAGTATATTCCTATCCTAACCACAAATCCGCTCCCCCTAAGGGTTAAGATTATGCTCTCTTCAATTCTTCTCTAATCTAAACATGGCTTTCCCAAGCATAGCATAGATAGTAAATAGAACCTAACTGTTGGCCAGACAATTAAGCAATTAAACACAGAATTGAAGAAACAACCATATATTAGTGAATTATAATCAAGATCAAGCTAATATCAAACAACAATATTCATGGCTAACTCACAACCCCAGAACAATGGGTGTTTAGCCACTCATGATGTAATCAAACAATTTCATAAGTTTTGATTAATTGAAAGTACTGGAAAAGATGAAGAATTCCGAGTTGTTCTTGCTCCTCAATGGTTCTAGCGTGTATTTTTGCTCCAAAGTGCGTCCTCACTCTTTTCTTGGCCGGCTTCCTTCGTTTAATATAGGGTTTAGGGCTTAAAATCCCGTGTTTTGCACTTTGGTCCCTGAAGTTTACGCGTCCTGCCGCGGTCCTACCGCGGTTACGCCAGGACAGCGGCCAGAGTGGCCATCAGAATCTGCAGCAGTGTTCTGCCGCGGTCCTACCGCGGTTACGCTCGGACAGCGGCCAGAGTGGCCTTCAGAATCTGCAGCAGTGTTCTGCCGCGGTCCTACCGCGGTTACACTCGGACAACGGCCAGAGTGGCCTTCAGATCTGGTTTTGTCCCTTCGCTTGGTGCACTTTCTGGATATTGTATGATTGGCCTCCTTTTCTCTGTAATTGATCCAAAAAGTACTCCACAGACTTCTTTTATTGGATATAGCCTGCAAAGCATGAAAAGCACTAATCAGAGCATTTTATTATCACTTTTTACCGTAAAAGCTATACAAAAATGTGGTTCTTTAGGGCCTAATTATAGTCTAATTTACCTATTATCACCTATCATCAATAATACACACCGTACACTCATGCACCCATTTATAAGAAGATTTTTAATTTCATACACGATTACGATATCCAAACTCCTACAAAAGCAGATCATATGGAAGTCAGGGAAAACTCCATAAAATACATTTACGCTAATTATCTGCGGAGAAAACACCATAACGCAGAACAAGAAGTCACATACTTGTAAAATAGCTACGCCAAATTTCAAATTAATAACAGAGTGGAGTGACAGAGGAAATTATATGCAAATAAACCTTCCCTCTCCAACCATTATGCAGAACACATTGCCAATTACTGCTTCACTTGCAAAAAAATGTACTACGAAAATCAAGCAGAAAATTATGGACCTCGAAGAGTTTTCCTCATCAAACAGAAAAAAGAATTCAATTCCCAAGCTGCATTGTAGGAAAGAGCAACTCCTGCAAGTCAAAGAATCAATGACCCCTAGTTCATGAACAATGTACTGATTAAAAAATCACATGACTGATAAAAATGAACCAGATAGGATAGATTACCATCTCATAATCAGCATAGCCGGGTATTTTGCATGATTTTTGTGTTTTATCATTCATGATCACTATATCTCCTTGGAAAATATGAGCACTCCTCCTTCTCATTTAGTAATCTTTACTTGTAAAATAGACCAGATTAATAGATTGTCTAGTTATCAAAATATTATATAAAACAAGAGCAGAAGACTGATAGTAGCAATCCCTAGTAGAACTTTATGACAATAAGGCAAAAGCAGGTAACCGAAATAAAATCACATCCAACAAGCTATATTTTTGGACAGAGTAGAATGAATTTCAAATATTTTAGTAGGTGCAAGATTTGATATCTTTGGATTGTAATATAACAGTGTGCAACTATCTTATTTTACCAAGGATGTGCAAGTATCTAGTTAACCAGCTAGCTTCTGTGATGAAGACATTACTACATTAAGTTGTTGAGTTGCAAGACGATACCTCTCATGTACTATATTTTAGGTATCAACAATAAAATTGTCTATAAAGAGGAATTAGAGTAATGGTAAAAGATTTAGCAATAATCTTAGAGAACATGCATATGTTGGAAGTGCTAATTCAAATTGCAAACAATTTAAAAGTGCTGACTTTATTTGCAAGACCTGCATAGAATGCCAATTGCGACCACAATGTTCAGAAACGACAAGGCCATATGCCCATATGTATCGAAAAGTCAAGCCTACCCGCTCTTTGGAGTGATTATTGTGTTTTATTTTTGATAAAGGTGAGTATTATATTTTTATAGCAGAGCATTTGTAGTGCAAAAATCTCCTAATACTTGCTGCTAACATTATATTTGTTATACTAACAGTCTAAAAGCCAGTCTCTTACAATTGGGATCTTCAAGCAAAGCTGATTAAAGAAAATACAGTAGTTGCCTATCCATCAAATCATTACATCCGTTCTAACTAATAGTCAGATAGAATGTAATACATAGTAAATACATATAGCTCCGGAGTGGACTCACCCTCGGCAGATTTGCGAGTGAGCAGAAATCCTTTAGATAGAACACTCTTTACTATGATAAAGACGGACATTTTGAAATTTATCATGCTAAGAACATAAAAAAAAGGAAGTTGTACAAACTCCAAAATGAAGGAACCTTGGTAAAGGAATACTCACCGTTGTGATGTCAAGGGAGATGTAGGACATTATAACCAAATAATATATCTCCGGGTAAGATTTTCCATATCACGTGCTCTCAGCATTATATAGATCTGTATTGAAATGTCTATTAAGGTAAAGAAACAATTGCCTCAGAGCGAAAAAAATAGATATAATTGATAAATGGTACCTTATCAGGAAAAAAAAAAAAAAAAAAAAGGATAGATGAAAAATGGTAGATGTATTAGAGAAGTCTATGCATCATACTTCATCCAAAAGTGAAAAGAGAAAGAACTGAGAACTTGATACTATCGCAGCGTTACAGACCATCTAATACAAAGAAGACACATCATAAAGCTGCAAACGCATCAATTGCTTGCACTGCATCTGGAATTCACACTTACAGTTAATTATTCAAGTTCCTACTCAAATACTAATACTTCTCCTTGTACCAGAAAAAAATAATGAACTACAGAGGAAAAAAAATGAGAACATGATCTTTCAACCATAAGATAAAGCAGTGATAGGATGTTCATAATTTTATTTTGAAAAAACAGAGGAAACACTGAAACGCGAAGGAGATATCGATTTTCCTACTTTTCTATAACCACTGAAGGTCACTATTGAAACCCAACGAGTATCAAAAGCAAAACATAAATTATAAAAGGAAATCAGAAGAAAACAGTGAATAAAAAGAAAGCGCAAAACCCACCAGTGAAAGAAGTAGACCAAGCAGAGGAACGGAAGAAGAAGCATAGTGAGAGAGTGAGAAACAAACTAAAATTTGCTTACAAAATTCACAAAGAAGGGCCAAACTTTACGGTGGATTTGTCCAAAGTTAACACGTGGAATCACAGTCGAGTTGGAAATTTACCCTCACTTTTGGTTTTATTTACACAAATGCCATTCGTCGTACCTCCTAACTTTCACATAGTTATAAAAAATCAAACCAACATTCATTTCTGATTCCACTATTGCCCTAGTGTTAGGTCTGTTTGGAACTAAAGTATAAACTAATTAACTTGTTAATTACTTTGACAATTTCAAGTCAAATAAAACGGTATCACATTCTTCACACACACACACAAACAAAGATCACTATATATTTACTGATTAGAATCATAACTGGAAAATTTGGATCAAAATTCTCACAAACCTAATTGTCATTGTTCTAGGTAACAACACGACAAGTCTCGCAAATTTGATCAAGGGCATTATAAAAAGTTATCATAGAACATTATAATTAAGTATGATAATAACTAAAATAGATTAAAGGGGTTTGAATAGGCAACAGGAAATCTGTAATATGGAAAACTATTTGATGTATTCGCATTTAGATGCTAAATTTTATGTCTGGTACTACAATTTCTTGAAGATAATTGGAGCTCCATATTGTGGACATAGGAACATAAGAACAGTAGGAGCATGTTGGTAAGTTGGAGCAAGGTAAAAGGAGAAGCATTTCAAGATCATGGCTATTGCTAATTTAGCTTGTAGGACAGCTAAATTTTGTCCAATGCAGTGGCGGGCGCCTAAGCCGAAAGGCATGAATGCCATGGGGTTTTTCGCTGCTTGAGCCACACCTTGAGCAAATCTTGCTGGATTAAATTCATTGACATCATCTCCCCATAATGCTGAATCATGATGGATTGCTACAATAGGTATAAGTAGCTCTGTCCCTCGAGGCAACTTCAAGCTTCCCAATTTTGTGTCGATTTTGGCCCGTCGGATTGTTGCTACAACAGGTGGATATAGCCGGAGGCTTTCATTCACGATCATCCCAAGCTGCAACCATAACAAAGTTCAACCACAATTACGAATGAACTCCTTAAAAGAAAAAAAAGAGTTTGACTTCTATACTCTATACTCTGATAATGTAAAATAATTTTACAATATAAGATCAGTTAAAAGATTAATCGTCTATAAAAAATACGATTAATCACCTAGAAACTAAGACAAAGTTATTTAATCAAATTCGAGCCTTGAGAATGAAAAAATTCATGGTACGAAACAATAATGATGTTGTAATTAAAACTTTATGCTCACCGTCTTAAGTTTTGTAATATCGTCCTTAGATGGGGTATCACGTGCTCCACAGTCCCTCAAGACCTCGTCACGTGCAAGTTCTTGCCACGTAGGATGCATGGCCAATAAAATGGTCGTCCAGGTTAGCAAATTGGACGTTGTATATTTGCCAGCAAAAAGCATAGTTTTGCATTCCTCAACAATGTCATGAACTTGAATGATCGAAGACGAGCAAGGATTTAAAGTTGAATTGTTTGTATATTGATCACTTGTTTCTCTCAGGCTAGCTTTGATCATTACTTCCAACAAATCATTCGGATCTTCGTCTGACGATTGCATCTGATCACAGTCCAAACTTTTTCTCCTTTGCTCAATGAGGTTCATCAAAGATTTTCTCACATCTTTATTCAATCTCCAAGAAATTCTGTTCTTCTTAGTAGGCAAGAACCTGGGAATAGTATATATACACAATCTTTTTTGTTTGAGTTATATATACCAAAATTGCGATTTTGCAACAGAATTACTACGTAGCATCAAAAGGCACATGTACGGTTCCTAAGGGATACAATTTTACCCTAATCAACCGACTTTATCGAGAAAGATTACTTTTTTTAGGCCAAGAGGTTGATAGCGAGATTTCGAATCAACTTATTGGTCTTGTGGTATATCTGAGTATCGAGGATTAGACCAAAGATCTGTATTTGTTTATAAACTATCCTGGGGGCTGGGTAATACCTGGGGTGGCTATTTATGATACTATGTAATTTGTGCGACCAGATGTCTATACAATATGCATGGATTAGCCACATCAATCTTTTATCCTGGTCGGAGGAGAAATTACCAAATGTCTAGTATTTCCTCAATTCTTTTCACCAAATTTTACGCTATTAGTGCATGTAAGTTTAATTTGTGAGGAATACCTGTATCCGGGGATGAAAACTTGTTGAAAAGATTCAATAGCATAAACCAATTGTCGAGCTTGCAACTCAAAAATGGCTTTCCCATCTTCATAGCTATTTCCAAACACCATATGTGTTATAACATCTTCTGACAAAGTCTCAAACCATTCTGAAACTTCAATTTCCACCTTGCCACCGTTCGACATTTTCGACCATTTGGCTAACATATCGCTCATGCTCCTCCCCATCTTAGCTGTTTAAGATATGAAAAAGAAAAAAAAAATGCAGTAATAAAATGATGAATTTTTACCACCTTTTTAAACTAGTCATACTTCATAATAGTGCAAAGATGTTGGTGTATAATAGTTAAACTCATTTCAAAAAGAAAGAGTGGACAAAAACTGTATATGTATTCACTGACTTGCCTTAAGATTTTGTGTGTAAAATATTTGAGTTAATATCTTTTTGTGGTAAGCCCATTTTTGTCCTTTGAGATTCAACAAACCATCGCCTTCAAGCTTCTTGACAAATGAAGGTGTTTCAGTTTTCTCAAAGCAGTCTGATTTTAGTATGAAGATATCTCTAATAAGAGCTGGATCAGAGATGGTGACACGAGCTGTTGGGCCAAACCACACAAGAAATATCGCACCTGCAGTTAATAAGTCGTTATAGACCACCAAAAATTAATGTACATTAGCGTGTAATAAACATTTATAGTTCCTTTAAGAGGGCTAATATAAACTGACACAGCTAGGGGCGAATTTATAGCCTATTATATAGAGCACGTGAACTCATGGTCACTTCGATAAACTAGATATTTTATGTACATATTTGCTAGAATTGATCTAATATTATCTGCTGGCACCTATATATACTCTAAAGAGGCTAAATGGTACACTTGGTTGAATGCTTAGAATTTTACCTAGAAGAGCAGGGATTAATTCCGATTTAATACTTTTTTTTCTCCTTTCTTTAGTGGTGCACCCATATTATAAAAATCCTAGATCTGCCACACAATTAATACAATTAAATTTAAGTTTTGTAAGGTGAAAGTATAAATATTTTCACTTTCAATGTATGTCGTTTCACACGTGATAGCCGATCGATTTAAGTTATATGTATTGAAAATGTAGAGATTTTTTCTAACACTATTAATGCGTGTTAAATCGTTACAGCGTTTAGTTACCATTTTTACCATAATAGAAATTAATAATACTAATTATCATAAAATTTACCTATAATTATCTAATAAATGACCTCATTTTGTAAATATTTGTTACATAACCTAAGTGCATAGAATGTAAACTTACCATAGATTTTCTTCCAGTGATGGTAGAATGAGAAAACTCTAGGAAGAATGTCATGGGAAAAGGGAAAGAGCTGAGTTGAAAGTCTGAAACTTGCAATTTCTTTGAGATTACCCAAGAGGAAATGGTATTTAGGACCCCTAATCCCTTGCTTCAAGAAGTAATATTGGATTTTTCTTGGTTTCCAACTGAGATTAATCACCACTTTCTCTGCAATTAACAGTAACACAAAAGAAAATAGTATAAGAAGACATAACCAGTAACTACAATTTTCCATATGCATTACTACCATAATTAACAGCAAAATTCTCTTCTAGCAGAAATAGTTTCATATATCTGCTTTATTTATATATATCTCAGAATACTTCTAAGTAATTAAACTATCTTAATAATGAAATAAAATAGATGGTTGACCATATCTCAGAATCTATTACTGTGTTATTATCATAATCTATATCTATATTATATTACAAGTATGAACTCATAAATTTTAAAGTTAAAGTTACTTAAATACCCCTCTCTATAATTTAATATTTAACTTTAAAAAAATTAAGTGCTATAAATAACTCTCAATTAGCCAACGCAAACTTATCCCACCGGTTGACCGAGAGTTACTATTTAATTTTCTTTTAAACCGCTGTCACACCCCTTTTTTCACCCCTTTTTTCACCCCTCTTTTAAAAAAGAGGTGTGACATCTCTGGCGACTCTGCTGGAGAGTTGCAGGTTCGAGCTAGTACTTGATCTTGTTGGCTTTTTAGGATATTCGGTTGAGATTTTTGTGTGTTTTGTTTGCTTTGTTTGATTTTTATTTTGTTTATGTCGTTTTATTATTTACTAGTTGCTTATTTATTTACAGTTTTCCCTTATGTGTTACTGCTTTATAAACTGTCATCATTTGCATAACCATGAGTCTTTTTTCTGCAATAAATCTCGGAGTACGCGTCGCGTGCACGAACTCTTTGTTGAGTCACCCTTATTTTAGAAGGGGGGGGGGGGGGGTTCGGACGTATGGAGTGGGTGGAAAGCTTGAGCAGCCACCATCGACCATACGCTCCCCCGAATTGCCTTGTTAGTGAACCCCAAACTTAAGTCGGCCTTTAGGTTATTCTTATTTGCATCATGTCATTTAAACCTAGCAGGGCTCGGTCCCAGGTACCGTGTCCCGTCGTAGGAGGCCTATCCAAATTATTTAATAAATGGGCCCGTGGCCCAAAATAACAGTTAATCATCCTATGTGATACATGTTGCATATTTGAGGGTAAAAAGGTCATTTGGCGGACCGATGCTTGGGAAAGAAGGGTGAAAAATGAAGCAAGTAGGGCCCACTCGCATTTTTCTTTCATAGTTTTCAAAAAAAAAAAAGAATGAAAAAGAAAATTCAAAAAGATTTTACATTTTCCATTATTTTCCAAAAATTCAAAAAAAAGGAGAAAAAAAAATCCAAAAAGATTTTACACTTTCCCATCATTTTCCAAAAAATCAAAAAAAAAAAACAAAGAGAAAAAGAAAATCCAAAAAGAATTTACATTTTTCATCATTTTTATAAAAAAAAAACAAAAAAAAT